GACAATCGCCCACGACCCATCACCAACGAACGGCGCGAGGCCTATGAACGGATGCAGGCGACAACGAGCCGAGGTGAGCAACTCACCTCAACCTCACCCACTCACATCTGTAACACAGAAGCCAGGTGCCACGTCACCGACAGTGACGTGGCCACCAAACGACAAACGATGAATTCAATTCGTCGTTTGTCATACCTTGTTTGTTCTAGAACACCATGGTAAGCACCCCCATCCTACCTTCTTCCCAACCCACCTCGCTGAGAGACAGGACACGGGACGACGACAGACGTGGAATGACAATGCAACCAGTACACGCAACACCGACGTGACGACAATGCACACCACACGCGGCACCACGACCCATGGATGGCAACAAGGTTCACCACTATGCACCCAGCCTGGACACAGCACCGGACAACATGGAATGCACCCAGGACATGCAACGCCAACATGACCTTCCTTTCAACATCCCTTCCTTCCCTTTAACATCCCCCATCCCTTCTACCTCCCTATTCCCTTTGAAACACTTATGGTAAATAAGTTTTATGTAGCTATCAAATACACACCAAATTGATTTGGTCAGAGTGGACTGTTGTAAGGAACTCACAGGAATAAGTTGTCATCTGGCACAGCTGAACTAACTTAGCAGAAATCCTGCAAAGCTATGGTATGACCATGGTATGGTATGACTGGTATGGTATGGTATGATATGATTGGTATGGCATGGTATGACCATGGTATGGTATGACAGGTATGGTATGGTATGACTGGTATGGCGTGGTATGACCATGGTATGGTATGATGGTATGGCATGGTATGACTGGTATGGTATGGTATGTATGGTATGCTGTGGATACCATAACATATGGTATTAGTGTTCTTGCATTTTTTAGCTGATTCTCTTTTGTTTGGTCTATATAGAGCACAATTATTGACTAGAGGTTGACTTTGTCAACAAACACCTCACTTCTGTATTTTAAATACATTAGTAAGGGTTCTTAGTACACCCTCAGCTTCACCCAACAAAAAACTTACAAAATGCATTAATTGAAATTGTTCTACATTTTGGCTGTTCCCATCACCCACTGTTTATCTTAAGTTATCAGAATCTTTTCCTTTTATTTTTTTGTTCTTTCATAGCTTGTCAAAGGGCCACTGCTTGTCACCTGGCAACTCCTCGCAGGGGTGGGGGGTAGGGTGTTTAGCCCATGTTTGCAGAAGAGTGGAGTGTTTGGTCCAATATGAACAATATGACCTCCAGAATGTCTTATTATTTGTGCCATGTTTGCGGAAGAGTGAGATGTTTGTTCCAATCTTGAAAAATATGACATCCAGGAAGCCGTATTATTTGCGCCATGTTTGCAGAAGAGTGATATGTTTGGTCTCAACATTTGCTTAGAAATATGAAGCTGAGAGACCTAGCTAAAGTGAGGAGATTGGATTTTATGTTCTTGAAGTCTCCAGATTGATAGGAAGTAGATCTAAATTATTGGAAGAAGACCTTGAAAATGTATCAAGTTTTCATTGAGCCATTCATGCTTAGCTGATGGCCAAGTCGCACACCAAATTGCATGCTCTTAAAATTAATTGTATGTGGAGTGGTACTTAATGTAGTTGATTATCAAAGTGCATATTCTAGTCCAACCTGTTGGATAATAATCTAGCTCAAGTCCATGTGTTTGAAATGGATGGTATAATGTAGTGTTCAGGACTGATAGATAATACACACAATTTCTTATTTTCTTTGCTTCTCAAATACCACATCACCACAATGGATGCAGTATTATGCATGCCAAAATCTGGGATCAAGCTCAATTGAACTGATTTTCAAAGGATTAAGTTTACTATATTGCCTCCTTTTGTAGCTTAATATCTCAGCAAAAACCTGAAGAACCCTGCCACAAAAAATGGCACCCAATGGACCAGTATTGCAGCCTGCAGAAATAATTTATATATTTTGAAAAAGGACCCCAGACACCCTTTGTCAGCTTTGGTATGATGGTATGGTATGGTATGAGATCATTTGGTATGGTATGAGATGACATGGTATGGTATGGTAACATGGTATTGGTATGAGTGGGATATGGTATGGGTTTTCCATTCCATGGTACCATGGTATTGGTATCAAGCTCATATACCACCCCGGAATGGGTACCCTCAAGGTACCCTAAATCAAGGAATTGATGTACCTCATAGGTACCCTAAAATGGGTGACTGAAGTGGCTTGAGCTCAAGAATTCGTGACCTATCTCAATGCCTGAAGGAATGGCTGATGATTGTCTTACCCAATATTCTGTGCATCTGCACTTTGAGCTTGAGGATGGTGATGGGAGTTTATTGACCAATTTCTCAACCAGATAATTGGCTTTGGTATGACACCTGAGGTTATAACAGAATTGATTTGGCATGAACCTTGTGGGATGGATGGATTTTTTTGTTGCATTGAAGGACACCGATGTAAATAGAACTCAGGGCCCACCTAAAATGGAAATAGATACCTAATTAGGATGGGAGGGGAGGGGGGGGACAGTCAAATTTGACCTTAAATGAAAAATACAATGTCATGTACTAAACAAATTTTTTACATACCCCTTGGGCTGAATCAAATTATATTTGACTACTTTAAACAGTACATGTGGTAGGATTAGAACCTGAGTATAGTACAAGGGGGGGGAACAATAAAAAGCCCTCTGCAACATGTCAAGTCCATTCAAATGCTCCAACAACACATCAACACCCTCGAGTGGCCCATTACCAGATCCAACTTCCATCGAATTCTCTGCACCTGAGCCTGAGTCGTTGCCACCCCAATTTGCACAGGAAATGGGGGGGTGAAGAGAGGTTTTTGATGAATGTGCCACCTGAGTTTGAGCAGGAGGCATTGTTGGATTAGGAGCTGCGGCCGCCACATTTTGGTGGTGGTGATGGTGGGACCTGCAGCTAAAGAGCATCGTCAGTAAACCTGATGCCAGCTTAACTCTTTGTTGAGTCCCTGTCATGTTTTCATGTAATGGATGGAAGTCAGAAGTTGCGCTTGACTGAGGGAGCTAGCAATGGTGGTATTCTCGAGAGCTCATCTTGTGTGTCCGATACATACACAAAAAGAGTGGAATCTGTCGATGAGGGTGTCTGCAGGTATAGCTGGTTGAGTGTCGAGGAAGAGTGTGTGGGGCTGTCATCAAAGTGACAAACAAGTTCAAGTTCAAGTTGAAGATGAACTTTTCAAATTTCAACACAAAGCAATCATGTGACTAAATTCAAGTTTCCAACTTAGCGCGAAGTAATTTGTAGACAGAAATTCTTAGCATAGCCATCAGGACGGACAAGATGAGACACACACACACAGAAAAAAGAAGCGACACACCAGAAAAAAGGCAACACATCGTCCTGAAAAGTGACACATTTGATGCCAAGAGTGTGGTTTGGATGGGCCTGTGTCTCGAATCTTTGTTGCGTACATAGCCTCCCAATCTCATCCATCAAACGTTTTTCAACCTGCATGATGCCTATCATATACGTGTACATGCCCTTACTTGTCTAGCATTCAAGTTCAAATAAGTCACTAAGTACCATTGCATTGTATTGGGCTTCGGAAATTCAAAGGAACAAGTTTTTTTTGAACTTGTTCTGTGTATTCAGAAGACTGGCTAAATGACATTTCGGTAGGTAAAATATATATGTATGATAGACAGCGATAACTCTTGTGCCCTCATCATGCTTGCCTTCCCAATGGGTGGATAATTTTCTCAGGGTGTGGGGGACATGGCACACTGTCATTGGGCTTATCTCATGTTCACCAGATGTTGGGCCAGTCCTGGTGGTTCATTGCAACAGCAGCAGTTGGTGGATAATGCTGCTGTCTGCAACGGGGTTCGCCATGGAACTGTTGCTCCTGCAGTTGTCATTTTTCCACATGAGCATTGGGCCTTCATAGCATTCACCATGTATGGTCATCAGGATGGGCTGGTGCTTGAATGACGAGGTCCCCGATCTAGTTACTGTCCTCGCTTGCCATGCTGGTTAGTCTAGGGTTTGGGTTCACATTTTTGATGTAGGTCTCACCCAGTACTTTACCCTCCCCCACGGATTCCACATGGACTCCACATGGACTCCATAAATCCATCTGGACTCCACCCAGGAAGGACCTCACCCTACATTTTTGCTGAAAATCCATCTGGACTCCACATGGACTCCACCTGGAATCCAAGTGGCCTCCATATGGATTCAATCAGAGTTCCAACATGGACTCTGCCTTGCACAAATTACAAAAAAATCCCAACTTTAGCCAGATGTCATATGACTTAATCTAACTCAGACCTTATGTTCAATCCTAAGAATTCCTTATGATATTTGTATTTGAACAAAGAAAATTCAAGTGTATTTATTGAATAGAACTACATACATGTATTTCACTACTTCAAATGGAGAAGGGAGGAAGTGATAGAGAGAGGGAGGGGAAGGGAGTGATGGAGGGGGGATGGAGGGGGGATGGAGGGGAAGGGAGGGATGGAGGGGGGATAGAGGGGAAGGGAGTGATGGAGGGGAAGGAATTGATGAAGGGGGGAGGGAGTGATGGAGGGGAGTGAGTGGTGGAGGGGAGGGAGTGGTGGAGGGATGGAGGGAAGGGGGGGTGAGTGAGGGAATGGAGGGGGGAGGCAATAGTGAGGACTCACCATGAATGTGGACACATCGTAGACGTCGACATGGGTTGTTGATGTGTCGTGGATGTGGATGCAGGCCGTTGAGGTGTCGTGGACATTGACGTGGGCGGTTGTCATGTCGTTGACGTGGGTCATTGCGTCATCATCGTCATGGGTTGTGGCCACGTTGTCGTCATGGGTCATGGTTGGTCATCGTTGACATGGGTTGTGGCCGCGTCGTTGACGTGGGTTGTGGCCGTGTCGTTGTCATGGGTCGTCATTGCATCGTTGTCATGGGTTGTGGTCACGTTGTGGTCGACGTCGGTTGTGGTTGCGCCTGGATGTTGATGTGGGCCGTTGTCACATCGTTGACGTGGGTCGTTGTCGCGTTGTTGTTGAGTGGGTCATTGTCGTGTTGTTGTTGACGTGGGTCATCGTCGCGTTGTTGTTGACGTGGGTCGTTGTCACGTTGTCGTTGAGGTGGGTCATTATCGTGTTGTCGTTGACGTGGGTCGTCGTCACGTTGTCGTTGATGTGGGTTGTGGACGCGTCGTCGTCATGGGTCGTCGTCGCATCATCGTTGATGTGGGTTGTGGCCATGTCATTGTTGTGGGTCGTGGCCGCGTTGTTGTTGTGGGTCATTGGTGTGGGTGGTCGTCGACAGCAGTAGATGGTGTCGGCCTGGGCAACGTGCTGAGCGAGGAGGGCTCGTCGTGAGGGATGGTGGTTGGATGGTGGTGGTTGAGGAACAAGATGCGCAAATAAATAGGCAAACACCAAGCACATGTGTTGAACGTGCGGAACGTGCCGAGCGACGTGGCCATATAGATCACTAGTTGGCCTTAGCTTTTAAAGGTCTTGTGGTTCAATGGCTAATTGTCTAGCTATTATCTTTAATTCTGTCCATGAGCTCCTGGGTTCAATTCTAGCTCATGCACTTTCATTTTTTATATATAATAAATAAAGTAAGGCAATTAATCCACATGGATTCCAGATGGAGTCTCACTCGGTGAATTCATATAACCCTGTGTTCTGGGGTGGAGTCCATGTTGGAGTCCATGTTGTCCACATGGAGCAACTGGACTCCAACTGGACTCCAGCTGGAATCAAGATGGATTCTAGACAAAAAATTGGCTGGGTTACCACCAAAAAAAAATTGTCTAAAATCCACCTGGACTCCAGGTGGATCCATGGAGTCCATCTGGAGTCCACATGGAATCTGTGGGGGAGAGTAAAGTCCTCGTCTCACCTCTTCCCCAAGGACCTATGCCTTTGCTCCCTCGTTGCCTCTCCCTACAGCCTCCCTACATCTCAACTTCATCCCCACTGTTGGTGTTACTGGCTTGCTTGTCATCAAAAGGTCAGCCCACATCCCTCAGTGAGGGGAGGGGCAGGAAGAAGGGTAGGAAGAAAGCATGGGGTGACAGCTACGAGCATGAGTAACGATGGTGGTGGGGGAAAGAGAGCAACATTGTGGGTGAAATGGGAGCCATCACACATCATGCTCGTTACATACATAACGGTGACAATTCACAAACACACTCAAAAACCTTGTGCGACACACTGCTCCCTGGTGTGTCGTTGCTCAGTGTGTGTGTCGTGATCCTCATCTGTGTGTGTGTGTCCCTTCTTGTATATCCTCCATAGCCAGGGGTGGAAAAAGTATGACAATGTTTATACTAACATACAACTAAACTTACCTCCCATTCGTTGCCAAGGGAATTTTGAGGGAAGGGTGGTGTGAATATTACAGATGTGTGACAGACATCTGACTAACCTCTGACTTTGTGCGATTTTGCTTGACTTTGCTTTTTACTGAGACTCACCTCTCAGAACATTTTCCCATTTCTAACAATCCCATCCCAGCTTGTGAATGCCCTCCACAGCATACCCATCCATTCCCATCGCTCCTGTGCCCTTCTGACAGTGTTTATGCGTTGGATGTGACCGTTGGGTATTTGTGTCCACGTTATCGTTATCATGTTCATTTTATTGTGTGTCGTTTCATTTCGTTGTAGGTATTAGAACGAAATATATGACTTTTGTGAGTGGAAAATGTGTGTAAAAGATGATCTGGTACTTACTGTGGCATGCAAGGATGGAGTGTGAATTCCTCATCGTGGATGGAAGTAAGCAGCATCAACTCGGGGGGGGGTGGTATGTGAGTTTGTCATTGTATGAGTTGATGAGGTTGTGGATGGAAGGAAGTCACCGTGAGATGGGTATAAAGATGTTGGTAAACAGTAGCAGTCCATGCTCAATGCATATAGACCGGTAACCATCCATCGTGATGAGGTTGACGAGACAAGCAAAGAAACCTCGATATGACGAGGACATCTCTGAATTCGAAAGTGCGGCAATCATTGTGCAGCAGATCTCCAGGTCACGTGTCGGTTCGCCAAACAGTAGAGACATGTCAACAACAAGTCCAGAGGGTGAGCCACAAGTGCGATGTGTAAATCTTGCTTGCTCAGCCAGAAATCGCCCGTTTCATAGGTTTATTCATTAATAAAGTATATTAGTGTAACTACACACAGTGGTTAAGGAAAAGGAAGATAGGGAGTCTCCGAAAGAGGACTGCATGAAGTGTACACAATGCTTACTATTACGTGGCTGACCCATCGGCCTTGCCTTGAGCATGAGCATCATCTCTATAGACATCATCAATTCCTCCCACTTCTGTCAATGTTGGTGGGAAAAAGATCCAGAGGGCAGGGTCCAGGACTCTGGGACTGATGATAATCATGATGTGTGATGGTAATACTTTTCAATCTCTAGTGATTTTGCAAGGGCGTTGTTTGGCGTGGGGCTTTGTGAAGAGGTGGAACAGCAAGGATGGTGCTGGGGAATTTGGAGGAGGAAAAGTCCTGTGACATGCTGGGATGGATGTTCCCACCACACCTGTTGCTACACAGTGTGGTGGTTTTTCACTGCACTTTCGAATTCAGAGATTTTCTGGATACGACGACCAGTACAGCTGAGTTTGAATTAGCATAAAAACAATGACGATCAAGTTTTGACATGTCTTGATGATGAGTGTGTTTGAAAGAATACCCATTTTGAGTGACTGCCCTGTAAGGAAGGCAAGAACAGATCTCTACCAAATTCATACATTTAAAAATAGACCCTGTCAACTTTTTCTCTTCCTCCTGCATCGTGTTGCTTTGTTTCTTCCTCCTTCTGGTCACCATGCCTGCACCTTCCTATGGCAATTTCGCATTTTCTGTTGGTCCTCAGGCTGTACCCAAAGCACAAGATTCAACTGATCCTCCACCCTTTTTTGCTGCTTTTACAGCAGATGGCACTACACTTCCTGAGCGACGACGCCAACGTCAGCGTGCCTCCAGCATACTGTGGAGCCTCACAGTTTCAGCAAACAGATCCCACATTTTTCCATGTTTCTCCTTCAAGCCAGCAACATTTGAACATGATGGGACATAGAAGCAGCGTTGAATCTGTGTTTGGGGCAAACAGAGGAAGGCACAGATTGGATTTGGGAGACCATAAGAATAGCTATGACAACGAGTATTTGAGATTTTTCTGGTCGAATGAATTTCCTTTTCCAATTCCATACAACAACACTCCTGGACAGCCTTGCAACTTTACTGAGCTGACCATGCCTTCGCAGTCCTTTCAATTCCCTGATTTGAGAGATATCTCGCATCACTCCAGTTTCTGAGTGGCACTGCCTTTTTCTTTTGTGTCCAAAAACCTGCGTGACTGTGACAATTCTCCCCACACCACCACCACACCACCAGACCCTATGACACCTCGCTTGCTACATGTCCTCTTGACCCTTTGGCTCCCCCTGAATCTATGTCCATTTCTCCTGGTGGTGATTTGTACTACTCTCCTCTGAGTCTCTCACCATTGATCCTGTCCAGCAATCTTTCATATGACAGTCCTCTTACTTCCACCTCATCCCTTGATGATCTCAGAAGCAAGTTGACTGGTTCTATTCCAAGGTTGATAAAACCAAAAGTTACCAGGACCAGCACCACATTTCAGGTTCTTAAACTTCTACAAGATGCAAGATTGAATGTCCTTGATCTCCTCAAACTCACACTCACCAGAGAAGGTGACTTTGCATCACAACGGAAGGCCCTATTCTCTCCGAAAAATACAGTCCTTCTTCAAGAGGTCTTGACAGGAATCTTTGATGATGAAAAGGGTGCTGAGATAAAGCAGCAATTTCTTTTTCCCAGATCAATTGATATAGTTAGCAAGGAAATTCCAGTACTTTACCCTCCCCCATGAGTTCCGGCAGACTCCAGCGGACTCCCATAGAATGTCGGAATTCCATCCGGAGTCCGCCGGAATGGTAGGAATCTCAAATTCCAGTGGATTCTGCCGGATTCTGAATGGAATTCCAATGGATTCTGCCGGATTTTGAATGGAATTCCAATGGATTCTGCCAGATTCTGAATGGAATTCCAATGGATTCCACTGGATTCTGAATGGAATTCCAATGGATTCCACCGGAATCTGAATGGAATTCCAATGGATTCCACCAGAATCTAAATGGAATTCCAGTGGATTCTGCTGGACTCTGAATATGTCTTCAGTACTTTACCCTCCCCCACATGCTCTGATCAGAGCTGAGCAAGACTGATTAGCACTGATCAGAACTGAGCTAGAGGTCAGGTGACTTGAGCTGTATTTATTGAAGTCAGAAATTCAAACCTCCTTATAAAATCACA